TTATGCTCATTTCGAATTTCATACAACCTTCGAATTGATACAACTTGATAAACTCATGAAATTTGATGATATACGAGTAAAGTTACATTCTGTTAGAATTATTCAGAGTGATGACAGAAAGTTTTCAATTCCGACAACCATATGTACATGTAGCTCTAATGAAATGAAAAAAGGATTTTCCAAATGATTATCTATTATGTATCTAATTAGCTCTCTGTCTATCTAGCCACCTAATGGCTTTATATACGAAATTATGGCCAGGCGGATGCTTCATGGAGTGGGCTGATAGCAAACGGCTGTAGGGCAGTCGTCTTCTAGTGAGACCGACTAAAATATCTCTTCATCAGATACTTTCACACGAAATAAAAGTCAGTATAACACTATTAAGTTAAAGTTAATCCGAACCCAGTTACATTTTTAATAACACTTTTTATTTGGTCGAAATTTCTCTTGTCTTAAAGAAACATCATTTATTGTTCCTTTTGTCGGTTGAAGTTCGACTTCTTTCCTCAAGCGCCATTGACCAGGAGTCTTCTGGAACGTTGAGAGCTCCTTCCTAACCTTTTCCGAGGTCCTGCCTTAAAGAGGCCTATCACCAAGATTGTGACATGACTTTCCCTTTCGAAGGAAAAGTTGGTCGCAAGGAATTCATGATGCGGTATCGCCGGAAATGGAAGAAGGATCGCCGCGTAGGGAAGACTGTTGAATTGTGTGAAGAAGTCCTCAGCTCACCGTCCTGCGACCCCGATGAAACTGTGCTAAGCTTTTGTCCGTACTGTGACAGACATCATCAGAGCATAAATATACAACTGGTTGAGCTTACTTCCCTTTTAAGTGAAGTTGTTTGGTGAAGAGATTCGAAGGTTGATCCCACCAGATGATAACGGCGGATTCCTCTTGACCAGCTGTCGATTGGCTTTACTCGAACTTTCTTGTTGGTGTTGTTTCCGATGTGATCTCATTTGATACCGGTGAAAATGAGATCACATCGGAAACAACACCAACAAAAAAGTTCGAGTAGAGCCAATCGACAGCTGGTCAAGAGGAATCGGCCGTTATCATCTGGTGGGATCAACCTTCGAATCTCTTCACCAAACACTTTCATTCGGAATGGAAGTAAGCTCAACAATTATGAAACAAGAGGTTCCTCGAAACCCAACTTTTCTTCGCATATAAATATACAAAACCCAGAGAAACCCAGCTTTTCTTCATATCACCAAAATATCGCCGAGCATTGACGTACTAAATTTAGCCGTTGCTACCCCCACACTGTTACCATCAAGCTGATTAACAAGTGTACCACACCGAGTCCCCTCAATTTCAATGGATACTGATTGGATCCGAGCTCAGGACAGGCTTGATCATCACTCATTTTGGGCTTCTGCTTTCCTCTACTCCGTCTGCTAGTGATGTTTTTAGTGCATCTGACAAACCAGGGGCCTATGATTCAGAGTATGTGTGGCCGAGCCTAGAATATCCGTCCGAACCTGGTTGTTGTGGCTCAGTCGTCCAGTTTCGACGTAGAAAAGGCAAGAAACCTGCTTACGCTTGTCGACTAGCCTCTATCGAAGGCAACGAAAAGGACAATTGAAGCATACTTTCTAGACAATTAGTATGTAGTGTGCATACACTCGTGTTTACTTGAACCCAAATTGGGCTGCAGTAAGGATTTGCGACCGCATGAAGGAAGGCGAAGAAAGGATAACAGTAAAAAAGTGGGTTCAAGGGAGATGGTGTAAACAGAACAGCTCTGCATACAAAAGAGGCTCATAGCGCTGGCCTAATTTTGCCTGAAGCAATGGTTGAGTGAACTTAAGTTGACCGGCTAAACGGGCGGCCAAAAATGGAAGCTGAAAAACGGCAAGCAAATATGAAGCCAATGCTAAAGAGGCGGAAAACATCGTTGACGAAGCTGAGGCGGCTGCTGATTCCGATGCTACTGCTGGTGGTGATGATGATACCGATGCTGGTGGCGATGATCAGCGTGGCGGTGATGACAATGTCAGTGCTTGGCACTGGGAGGGGGAAGATCGTCCGTCGACGAGCAAATAGATGCATCCTAATCCTCCTCTGCCCACTACGAAAAGTATGAGGACAAAATGGCCGACTGAGGTGGGGCTGGAAAGGGTGATCGCGTATGGGCATAGCGTATGGGTGGAGTTATAGACCGGCCGGCCGACACGTGTCCGTCTGATTGTCTACATGAGATGAGAATGAGAGTCTGGGTGCCGGATGAGGGGATCTGAACGGCTCATGTGGAGTGGTGGATCCCGATTGGAGAATCAATTTATGCCCGACCAACCTGTAGCCAGTCCTTCGTTCGTAAGCCCCCGACGGAGACGAAGCGAGATTGGGAGAATTGACGCACTTTCGGACGGAGCCTGAGTCTATCATTGGGACGTGACAACAACTACAGGCGATATGACAACAGTGACGAACAGACAATCGGACAACCGAGCAGTTGGGCAGTGTGCCTGAGGATAGATGTGGGGAGAATTCGGGGGTGGGGGGCATAAGGAAAGATTGGGTGGCAATTCAAATACCACTCTTTCATCACTTTGAACGGGATAGAGTGAATACATCTCATATTTATATACATATATGATAATCTGGTAGTCTCGAAGCCTATTTATAAACGAAAAATAAGTAATGCGTTAGAATTTGTAGGTGGAGTTGTATGACTCGCTGAGAACTGTTTGTCTCGGAAGGCAACATACATGGCTCGCTGGATGGGTACCGATGGGTGGTGTCAACCAGGTTGACACACCGGATGAAACCAGATGACCGACAATTGTTTGTCTCCTGGGTATGTAGCGAAACTGGGTTTCGAAGAGGCTCTTAATGGATTAATGTCGGGGTACATTTCATTTGGTCACATGACGGATGAAAGCTCAGTCGGATTCATCGGAGTCGCAGGCCGGTGCGCCGAGGAGATATTGGCACAATTCTACAGTCACACCTCCAAGGCAATCGCCCTACAGCTTCTGATGGGGCCAACTTACGAATCCCTTCAAGTCGCTTCTTCAAACAACATTAAAGGTACCCCAACAGCACTCGTTTGTATGAAGAAAAACTGGGTTTCGAAGAATTTCTTAATGATGTATTGTAACATGACTTTGCCTTTCAAAGGAAAAGTTGGTTGAAAGGAAAAATATACTAAACCAAGCTGAAGGGTTTAGGTTAGGCTTGCTTTTGATTTAACATATTTTTGAAGATATGAAGACCCAAATGTTGTGGCCTCTGGTATGGTCACAGTCTCCTTTCGATTTATAGAAGTGGGCTGACCTCGCTGCCGCAACTTGATCTTGTTGTCAGGGCGACTTAGTAGAACGCACCAAGTGCGAAGTCGTCTGCCATGGTAGTTGTCATGATTCCCAGCATCAGACAGTGGACTTGGTACATTCTCAGATGTTTCACCGGCATCGAGGTCGGCATCATCAGTGAGTTTTGCCATTCTCCGCACCAAGCTACGAATTCGTCAAAAGAGACATTTGAGAATGTACCAAGTTTACTGTCTGATGCCGGGAATGATGACAACTACTATGGCAGACGACTTCGGATTAGGTGTGTTCTACTAAGTCACCCTGACAACAAGACCAA